TGTCAATGTGGACCAAAATCTCTGAGGAATGCTTCCAGCATCACTGGAGCATCCCGGTCAGAGGCAGGTTCAGATATAAACATAAGAAGCATGTCAGATAATTATTTAATCGGCTCTGATTAAACAACAACTTCCGATTCGATGTGCAAAATGTAGCATCCATGCTAGCTCTGTAAACAAACAAGCCGGCTGATGAGACGTCACGTCTTTTACTGCGCATGCGTCACATCATTGCTGTGTAACGTTCACACAGGGGTCTGATATAGGCCACATTTAAAATGTAATGTGAATGTTCACACAAAAAAATCGGATTGTTTCAAAAAGTCGGAACTGAGCATTAAGACCTGCAGTGTGAACGTAGCCACTTAAGAGCTTTCTCTTTAATTCCAAACAGCATGTGTTAACATTCTAGACTGGGTGGCTCCAGTTAAAATCAAATGCCTGAAGTCCAGGAATGAACCTTGGTTAAATGATGAAACCAGAACACTCAGACGTGAGCATCATAAAACTGAGCGGAGGTGGAGAAAGGACAAGCTGCAGGTTTCTTTTGAGATGCTAAAACAGAGCTGACATTTTTATCAGAAAGATGTTAGAGCTGCAAAAGGTAAATACTTCTCAGACATCATTAGCCATGTTTCCATCAAGGTTTTTAATGCGTATTTTGAAATATCGCTTTAGGAAAAGTGGATGGAAATGGGTTGGTTCGAAAAAACTTCCTCTAATTCGCATCAAAGTTGATATCCTCGCTTGAGGTGGTTTTTGGGTTTTTCTAAAAGAGTTAAAGTGCAAAAGGGAGATGGAAACACATTTTTCGAATCAGGTCTGACGTAACGAACATTTACCTCACATATTGAGTTGTTCCTGCTGTCTGTCCGAAATCGGTCCCAGTACCAGAGCGAGTGCAGCCGCGACTCGCAGCTGGAACCTCCTCCCGCTGTCGGCGTATTCCCAGTTAATTGCATTACTTCCTCTATGTCTCCCGACCGCATGYAAAATCACCAAAACTAGTTGATGACAGAATAACTACAAATTTCCCAATAGTGAAAGTGAGGATAACTTCTCTCCATTTTCCTGAGATGCCACTTTTACTTCCTGTTTACTACATGCATGTGTCTGATGTAACTGATTCGCTTCAAGCCAGTTAATGGAAACATGTCTGATCACATTTCTTAGTTTTTACATTTTTGCGAATTTTTTAAAAATTTGCTCAAAATTCGAATTAAAATTGAATGGAAACACGGCTACAGTCTTAAACTCGCACAACCTCTGAATCCTCTTTACTACTCTGAATACTGTTCTCCATCTGAATGAACCAGCCCACCTGGATGCCTCTTATGAATTGTGTGAGGAATTTCTCACCTTCTTCATAGATAAAGTTTTTCAAACTTGGGCTCTCATCTCATCTCCACACCAGCTCATGATCCATCCATATTAACTCCTTGTTCAGCAGTATTTGATCACTTTGAGCCCATCTCTCTGAACCACTTAGAGCAGCTGTTTTCCAGCTTAAACCCATGTGGATCCCCCTTTGATCCAGTTCCCCTACGACTTCTAAAAGAGATCTTCCCCACTTTGGGTCCTTCTGTTCTTAACATTATAAACAGCAGCTTAACTTCAGATGTAGTCCTACAAAGTTTTAAACAGGCAGCAATGCAGCCCCTCCTGAAAAGAATTGGCCTTGACCTTTCCATAGTGTCTAACTTTAGACCCGTCTCCAAATTGCCATTTCTGTCAAAGCTGTTCGAATAAGTAGTGGACATCCAACCTCTTCTTGACTGCCTGGCTGACATCAGGGATTGGATGACTTAAACTTCCTAAAATTTAATGAAAAGGAAACAGAAGTCCTTCTGTTTCCAACTAACAACACAAAACAGTAACACTTATGGTTATGGTTAATGGGGATGGA